CGGACGGCCGGGCAGCGCCGGGGAGCCGCGGCCCACCTAGCAGACAAGACAACGTTTAGAAATAGCTTCAGTTTCCGTCTGTTACTTCAGTTTTATGGAAAAGCAAATCCCAGACTTTAGTCACAGAGCAGGTAAGGATAACTATCCTTTTGTTCAAGAAAACCCCTCTCCTTCCTCATTAAAACTGGCTGGGATGATTACGCTATTGATTACCAACACTTGATGCTGGCACATGTGCCCCACAGAACCATACCAGGCACGAACACAATTTTGATTCTATACAAGAAATATTACATATAATGCTGGCTTAAGAAGGGCTGTTTTTTACATAAGTCAAATACTTATCAAGGATGTTGCATTATTGCAACATCTTCTTGCAGGTAAATAAGTTGGTGATTTGTAGTGATTAAACACTTTAAGAACTAATTTCCCAGGTGGCCTACCTGAGAAATAAACATTGCAAAACTGATACCCGATGACGGTAATTGTACCATCCAGCACTAAATTCGGATGATGGATGAAAGAGACCACAGCGAGGCAAGGACATTTTGGTGAGAAATTGCAAATGAATTCGCAGAATTGTTGAGGCTTGAAGGGACCTCTTGAGGTCATTGAGTGCAACCCACCTGCCCAAGCAGGGTCAGCTAGAGCAGGTTGTCCAGGACTGTGTCCAGTTGAGCTTTGAATATCTCCACAGGTGGAGACTCCCCAGCCCCTGCCGGTGTACAACATCCCTCACAATAAAAAGAGTGTTTTCTTGTGTTCCAGTGGAATTTCATAGGTTTTAATTTGTGCCTATTGCTTCTTGTCCTGTCAGTGGGCACTACTGAGGAGGCTGGCTCCCTCTTCGTGGCATCCCATCAGGTATTTTTGCACATACGTAAGATTACCCCTGAGCCTTCTCTTGTCCAGGCTAAAGAGTCTCAGCCTCTCCTCACATGACAGATGCTCCAGTCCCTTAGTCATCGTTGTGGCCCTGTGCTGGATGGACTCCCTCAAGTCCCTATCTTTCTTGTACTGGGGAGCCTAGAAAGGGACACAGTACTGCAGGTATGGCCTCACCAGTGCCAAGTAATTTGTTCAAGAAGTCCAGGGAATGTCCCTTCTGCCAGCACTGCCAAGAAGGGTCTATCCAAGCTTAATTTAAAAAAAAAAAAACCAAATCTCACAAAAATTCCTTCTTTTCAGCTGTTCTTGCCGCAAGCATAGTTAAGTATATACACTGATGGAAAGGAATAATAGGTTTAAATATACTGGATTTGAAATAAACATGGTCTCATAAGTCATTCTTAAGGAAAAGCTACACACTGTCATTTGAAGTGAATCATCCTAATTGAACATTTACTTCCTTAAGTGAGTGTAACTGCAAAAGGATGCATTCTCTCAAGCCGATGTTGTTACTATTGGATAGTATCTAAATCCTCAGAACAGACACAGATGCAGACAATAGCAACACAGGCCTTCACACTGCTGAACTGGCAAGGCTATTCAGCTGCTGTGGGCAGTAGCACAGCAGGAACTGAACTACAGCTATTAACGCACTGCAGACACTGGACAACTTACCCAAAATACAAATTTAAGTGATGTGACAAGCAAAATTAATAAAAGCCAACCACACTTCTCTTAAAAAATAATTTTATTAGAATGCAGCAATGGCTGTCAGAAATAACATTCTGATCATGTAATTTTATAGTGGAAAAAACATTGCATGGTGTTTTCTTGCCCATTTTGTACTTGAACCAATCACTTCGGAATTCAGAATGTTTAGAAAATACCAACTTTGTTAGTCAGGAACAAAGTGAGGGACGGGACAGGGAGAACAGAAGTAGTGCTTAATAGCTTACAGAATAAAAAGATTTTGAAGGAATTTTTTTTTTCTCCATGGCTTTTTAATTCTAGTGAGAAATGCACTAAAATCCTCTTCCATGAGAACACAGAACACTACAGCAGCACCAGACACACTTCATACATTTCTTTAAGCCTTAAATTTGCCAACATGTTCACGAGCTATGATCATCCTTTGAATCTGAGCGGTTCCCTCATAAATCTGAAAAGAAGAATTGCAAGAATGTTAGCTGATGATTTTTAAAAGGTTTTAACAGATCTACACTTTTAAACCTTCACAGCACTAATGCAGTATGGATTAGGATGTGCAGAAAGACCCAGAAAAACTGAGAAAATTCCAGTGTGACAGAGTAACTACAATGGGCTAAATGGAATAAATCACATACAAGACATTGAGAGATAGTCTTGTTCTCTCAGGTGCTCTTATCTAAACTCAATAAGGTTCTCATGAAAACAAACACATGGTGGGTGAAGAAGGATGAGGAAAATTTCTTGTCTGAGGAAGAAAACATGTAATTTAGGGTTTTTAAAAGTAGGATTTATAACAATAGGTGGAGGGGAGAAGGTGACTTGTGCTGAAAGTGGTGTATTTTCTTTGACTAGCCTTTCAAGGTCATACCAAATGTTCTCTTTCATCCGTTTATTTCCATTGTTTCTTGTTAACTAGTACTCTCTCCCATACAGTTTTGTTTGGTTTTTTGTTTTCATTTGTTTTTTTCATCATGTAGTCTTGCATTTTCTTCTAGAAACAGTCTGCATCATCCTTCTATTTGTTTGCTGGCAGCAAAGTCAAAGATAGACAGCAAAGCATATATAAAGCTCTGATGCCAAAGGAGGCCACACGCTCCACAGGTATGCTGCAATGTAATGCGAGGGCTGAGGCAACATAGTTTAGGGGTTTAAGTGTTTCAGCTCCCAGTTCTGCCAGAACTTTGTTTGGCAAATTGCTCAAATTCATGCAAATTCACTTTCTCATGCACTTATAGGAATAATCTTCCCAAGAACCTTACATAGCTTTTGAAAATAAAGATGCTATAACCTGTATTCACATTAGGTTTTTGGTTCAGAAGTTGTTCATTCCCAAAGTGAATTCTCTGACTGCTACTGCTTACTCCATGTTGATCCAAAGCGGCGTTGGAACTAGATGATCTTTAAGGTCCCTTCCAACCAAACTATTCTATGATTCTGTGATTCTCCGCTCTACTTCATAGCGCAGATTGTGTTTTCTGAGTACTAGGTGCCTTTTGGAGCAAACCAAAATGGGAGCTCTGCCTTCTCCATATACCAAAGACCCAGCAATCCCTAATGAAGACATAGTGGTCCAAGTCTACAACCGGACCCCTACAATTCCACATGTATTGGGGACATACAGTCCAAGGGACCAAACAGACTTGCTATGAATGCAGACTGCTTATAGCGTAGTTGCGGGCGCCTTGGCAGCTATTCCTGCTATCTACTAATCTGCTCCTATTGCACTAAATTACTGGCTGATGAAGACAGCTGTGGAACTCGTGTAAAGACATCAAAACTCACAATCCTCTTAAGTAATTACAATAAAGGTTTTGGTTTATAAGCCGATGGCAATAGTTTCAAGAATCACTGAGAATTAAAGAAGGGAACGTTTCCAAATTTGAGAAAGGAAACTAAGTTAGAGTTTCTACCAGAGTAGCCTAGATTTGTAGCCAGACAAACCTAAAGGAGGAGTAAGGACATGTAAAAATGTTACCAGTAAACACAGTATTAGAATTGTGTAATACTGAAAAAGATCAAATACATGAAAGAAAAATTGGAAAACCAAGTTTTTGTACATGAAACATATGGCCAAAAGCATACACCATCTGGAACTGGGCAGCAATACAGTAAAGGACAGTGAAGTACAAGGTATAATCAAGAGATATGGACAAAATAATTGTAAAAACAGAAGCCTTTCCCAAATTCTTTTGGGGATGAAGTGGAACAGAAAAACACGAAAAATTTAATACTAAACCTGATTAATCTGAACAATTGAAAAAAGTCTATTTAGCCTTGCATTTATGGTGGAACAGTGTAATGGAAAATGTAAATAACTGGGATCTTGTAAAGTCAATCTCAGCTTTCAAATAAAGTTCTAACCTTCCCACCATCTTTCTCTAGAAAAGCATGCAACCTGACAGGAAAAAAGCCCAATCATATTAAAGGTCAATTAATCATTCATTTCCTCACTCACAGGAGTGCAATTAGTTCTAAGAACATTTAGATTCCAAATGGTGGTTGTCTTTCCTTAAACAGAGAAAAATTAGTTCTTGGCCAGTGAGAATAATAGTTTTTCATTTTAAAGTCAGCTGTAAGAGAAATCTAACTACCTAGAATCTTAAGAATGACAGCTGTTACAGATAACTAACATTACAGGTCATGGTCTACATGCATTTCTTGATATCATCTATTTTGATATATTTTATCTAGTCAGTATTAATGTCATCTAATGTCATAATGTCAATAAAGATTACTGGTTGTGCTGAACACAAAATATTCTTGCTGAAGAGAGAACAGTAGCATAGTATATTCTAATAGAAGAATTACGACATGACATTGAGTAATTTTTTGGCAGTAACACTGCAGAAAAAAACTGGGGATAACAGGTGACTATGGGTTAAACATGAGTAAGTATGAGCAGGTTTTGTTGTTAAAAAACCAGGCTAGTCACTCCAGGTTGTGTCACACTTCTGTTAATGTAACACATGCAAGGTAATCATTCCATGATACTCAATACTGGTGATATCTCAATCAGGTATTCTACCCAGCTTATGATACCAGAGTTTCAAACAGAAGGTTTAGAGCACAGCAAAAAATGATGAAAAGGCTGGAAACAGAAGGGAAAAAACCAAACCAAAACAAAAATCCCAACCAAACAACAAGACGCCCACAACTTATGAGGAAAAAAGGTGAAGAAGCTGCTTTAGTGTTCAGGCTGAAAGGAAAGCTGAACTATAGGCAGGCACCATTCCAGGATACATATGGAAGGTCAGGATTTCCATCACTGAAGGTTTTCAAGAACAGCATTACACATAAACCATCTCTATTCATAGAATATCAAAGCAAGCATTGGTATTTTGATCAGTTTCTTCTATAGTGCTTTTTCTGAGAGTTCAAAAACTTCAAAAGTAAGAGTCCAAGAATTTTGGAGTTACCACATTGTGGGTGGGGGGATGTTGGGGCAGGGGGAGAAAAACATAATTTATTTCTTTTATGTGAATTGAGTCGTTGGTCCAGTGCAATGACTTTTGTAGGCAAGAACTTCCCTGATTTGAATGACTCTCTCTGTAAATTGAAGGATTATTGCTTTCATTCTAAAAACTTTTTTTTTTTAATATGTGTACATCATGATTTGAAATAAGTAGCCATTAGTTTAGTTTATATAAAATTTATGCATTACTATAAAGATCATATTCTCTCTTTTGCTTACCTGGTAGATTTTAGCATCTCTCATTAGTTTTTCTACGGGATATTCAGTATTAAATCCATTTCCTCCGAAAATCTGTACTGCATCTGTAGCTACCTGGTTTGCAATGTCACCAGCAAATGCCTTTGCAATGGAAGCATAGTAGGTATTCCTGTGACCAGCATCAACTTCCCATGCAGCTCTCTGGTAAGCCATCCTAGCAAGTTCCACTTTCATTGCCATTTCAGCAAGCAAGAAAGACACTGCTTGGTGCTATGAATGATGAAATAAAACTAGGTTAACATTGCCTACTTAAAATTCTATGACATCCAAGAAAAAAATATAATCTTCTTAACACAATGATCTCTTCAACAGACTCAGTAAATTGTACTAGAAGAGATCTACAGAATATGGATCAGGCTCTTATAGTTGTATGTTGAATTAAGACTTTTAAGTTTTTAATTCTGAAATCCATTAGTCACAGGGATTAAATACTGAATTACGAAGTTGTCCTTCACTGTTTATGAGATTGGTATTTACCTTGCTGTTTATTCATATTTCTTTAAAACTGGTAAGCAGTGTGATTGGCAATGTATTCTGTTAGTATTAATACTGTGTGTATTGTTTCACATACCTCAGAGGTTTTCTCCTTTCCTGAAAATCCCCGTTTATTAGCACTGAATAACTCAAGTATGTCCTGATAGTACATAAATTTCAGGTTTTTGGGCACAGTTCTCTTTCTGCTTTTACTATTATCATTGATAAATTATAGAAAAATTCCTGAAGCCTGAAGTTACCACATAGCTAAGTTTACTTAAATGGTGCTGACCCATATACTTGGAAACCCCAAAATGGCAGAGAAATAATATAAAAATTAAGGAACTAAAAAGTCAAGGAATAACCTTGAAAAATCAGTAGTAGTACATCTGGTGTGAAAACATAGCTTTTATTTATATTGTCTCTCTCCCCCCACCCTCCTCCACTTACTTCAACAATTGCTTTACCAAAGGTTTTTCTCTCCAAAGCGTATTTAGTAGCTTCATCAAGTGCTCTTTTTGCTAATCCAACAGCACCAGCTGCTACCTGAATCAAATACAGCACAGAATAAAAAAATCAGAAATTCCTGCTATATTTTGTAAGTAAGTTATTTCTGATACTTACGGGTGGTCTGGTCTTATCAAAAGCTCCCATTGCGATTTTAAAGCCCGCTCCCTCAGCTATTAATACATTTTCTTTTGGGACTCTCACATCTTCAAAGATAATACCTCTTGTATCTGAGCAGCGTTGACCCATATTAATTTCCTGAAAATTTACAAAGGTGCAACTAAATTGGATTATTCAAAGGTACAATACGTTTTCATTCTTTAGTTTACTGAAAGCATAAAATACGCTTTTTTTCCCCAAAAGACTTCATCTAAAAATTACCATATACACGACAAATACTGGTTTTGCACTCGCAGACCAGCATGCCCTTTATTTGTCTAAGCTGGGCAGTTTACTTTCTCCTTATATGAAATCAGGTCTCTAGCTGTAATCAGTCGTCTTGTCTTTTTCTACTTCAACTATATCCTTTGAGGTGGGAGTGGAAAAAGTAAAGAATCTAACATGCAGGCAGTACAGGTGTACTACAAGTAAATAAATAAATGAGCTTTTCAAGTTTTTGGATTCCTTTCCTAATGTTCAACATGCAGTTTTGCCTACTACTAAAAATAGTACTCTCTTTTTAAAGAGAGAACTAGCACCAGTGTCTCCAAAGCTGCTTCCTCGACCAGCAGTAGCTAAAATTAAAGCCCACTGTGTGCATATTTATGGTTAAAATTGTCCAACTTGCTTCCTATCCTTTCAAGGCATACTACTTCTCATTTATTGACACTTGTCAATAAAATAGTTCTCAAAGATTCTTTTGCAGCTGTTCAAAGTCATCTTACTTTAGACCATTCTGAGTAATTCCTTATCTGAATTACTAAAATTATAATTAAGGATGTCTTATGAATGGTTTCTGTATGCTGTGAAAATTAGAAGACCATTGTACATAAGCATATGAAAATGTTCAGTTGTGTAACAGTATTTTTTCTTTAATGATAATTTGTTGTATTATTGGTTTAGAATTGAACAATACTTCCTGGCTTGTCAAATAAGAGATACAGTCTTCACCTTTCTTCCAATTTGGACGCCAGGGCTATCTGCTTCCACAATGAATCCAGTAAAAGCTTTGCTTGCAGGAGCTTTTGGATCTGGATTGCTACGAGCTAGCAAAAAATACCTAGTGTAAAACAAAGAAGAGGGATGCAGTTTATCCTCACAATTAACAACCATATACTTTTTTAGCTAACATTTTACATGTTTTTATATGCATTTCTACCATATTATAAATTCTATCTGGAAGTTAACAACCCTTTTTTCTTGCCCCTCCCAAAAATACACTGAGAGGGAGCAAAGGAAAGGAAGTTTCAAATATTCAAGATTTCATAAAATTTAATAAAATTACTTCAGATCAACATGCAAAGACTTTCCACCTTTTCCATGTATTGTAAGTCTATATGATATTATCAGCTTCACAAATACTATGAAAGAAACCTATTCACAGCACATACATAAAAATTAATGCTTAGGAAATACAATCTTGCATGCAAAAATGTTATGTCATCACCTGATTTCAAAAATACTTAGAGGAATAAAATTAATGTAAGTTGTAAGTAAGTATTTATCTTAGAAATTAAACAGTTGTAAATCAAATTTATGGTGTTCAGTAGTGTCAAAAGATATCTGGTAGATTGTCTTTGATGGATCTGCCTTGAACAAGGAAATAAGTAACTAGAAAATGCAGCTTTTGGATAAAGTTTTTCCACTTGAATTAAGAAGTCATGTGTTGTGAATCAGTGTGATGTGAGACAGGATGAAAGAAGTTTACATTGTAAAGCATGCTCCATAGACACCACAAAAAATGTAACACCACAATCCAACAGTGTTTCTAGCTTCACTAGAAGTGAGAGGTGTTTCTAGCAGAATCATAAGCAACTGATCCCAATCACCACAACTACTAAGGAAGGTAGCTAGTAATGTGAGCCTCTGAGTACTTCAGAAGTTAAATCTTATTGTCACTGTCCTGCCCTGAAGAAAAAGCAGAATTAACTTTCTTTGATAGCAGCAAGACTCAAGAGGCCTTCTTGAGTAAGGAGCTGTCATGTCCTTGCTCATTTTCTTTTTTAGGCTTTGCACAGCACTGAGGCTGCATTCTTATATCCTATCCTGATAAACTGGTCAGAGATTAAAGTGTAGTGCATTGAAACACAGTGAACATTCAGATTTAGAACAGATCTTAAAGAATTCAACGGGGGGGGCGGGGGGGGGAAACGCGGGGAACCACTGTGTAACATAAAACCAGAAAATATAAAACATGAGTTAACAGTTAACACACCAGTTTGCTTTCCCACCATTTGTGATCCACATCTTCTGACCGTTAATAACATATTCACCCCCTTCCTTCCCACCCTTTGTTTTTATCCCAGCCACATCAGAGCCTGCTCCAGGCTCTGTTACACAGTAGGCCTAAGAGAAAATAATACACAAAATCTTGAGGAATTGAAGTTCTGTTTTCAGGCAACCACAAATTATTGCAGACTATGTGCATCAAACTGATCTGTAAAAGGTTTAAGTGAACTGCATGGTTCAAACCCAAAACATTAAATAAAAAGACCCAAACCAAAACAACCCAACCCAAAAAAAAAACCACAACAGCTGTCTAAGCAAGAATCGAACATATATGGGTTAATTTTCTTTATAAATCCATAATAATACATAAAATTGTCTTTTACTTTTAATCAAACAGAACTGTTCTGTAACCTTTAAGTCATTCATTCCTCAGGCTTCACAAACTCTGATGTGAAAGCTGAGGATCGCTAAAATCTGAAAATAGGAGCACTGAGTAACATTTTATGTTTACTGTGTTCTTCATTTTATGAGGCTTACTTGCTCAGATTTTAATGCACGGCACATGAATCTTTACTTCTTTCTATGTAACAAGTACTGCTTATGTAAAATTTAACATCACAAATAGAGTTTAATTCCCATCCAAGTTGAGTTTCTCCTTATACAAACCTTGTATTTTTCTTAAATGCCTATACCCCCTCTTGAAAGGGAAATAAAAGGTATTAATTTTTGGTAAGTGACTTAGGATGGGGATGATTTTCCAAGTAATATCTTCTATTTGCTTACTGAATGTATCTTATTGGCTATTCCCTGACTATCAGTAAATGCCACTACTTGTTTACAAACCAAAATGGACTAAGTTGTGAGTACACATCAGTGTTTTCTGGGGGAAAAAAAAATAAAAAAAAAAAGAAAAAAAAAAAGGAGTAATACTATTAATATGGATTGAGGGCAGTCCTGAGGAGAAAGACTTGGAGGTGTTGGTTGACGAGAAGCCCAACATGACCCGGCCATGTGCGCCGGCAGCCCAGAAATCCAACCGTGTCCTGGGCTGCATGCAAAGCAGTGTGGCCAGCAGGTCGAGGGAGGGGAATCTGCCCCTCTACTCCGCTCTGTTGAGACCCCCCCTGCAGCACTGCCTTCAGCTCTGGGGTCCTCAGCACACGAGGGACATGGACCTGTTGGAGCGAGTCCAGAGGAGGCCACGAAGATGATCCGAGGGCTGGAGCACCTCTGCTGTGAGGACAGGCTGGGAGAGTTGGGGTTGTTCAGCCTGGAGAAGAGAAGGCTCCGGGCAGACCTTAGAGCAGCCTTC